CGGTTTTATTGGACAAGTATGATAAGAAAAGAAGCGTTTATTTAAGCAAAATGCTTGCTCGCTGGCTCTTCTCAACCAATGCTAAAGATATTGGGACTCTATACCTCATTTTCGCCCTGTTTGCCGGTAAACTATTTATCATGCCGGCTTTAAATCTTGCTATATGCAGGGAAGGTTCTACTCTCTTGCAGTACTTCATTAACTTTGTTTTCGAAGTAACAATCTGGAGAGAAATTATTAGGAACTTATCTGCAGAAAACTTTTTATTAAGGATTCTCAGAGACTTTACGCAAGAGTTCTTAACCATATTAACTATCTCAACTTATATATTAGAAACATTTGCAACTAGTGTACAGAAAACTTTACATATAAGAGAAGTCCATAATACTATACCTAACACATCTGGTCAATTAGGTCCTATTTAGCAGGTTTAATAGAATCTGATGGTGTTTTAATAACACCAAATAACTCTTCAGGTACCCCTACAATTTATATATCTTTACAGGAGAAAGACAGACCATTTGCATTGCAGAATATCTAAAAAATTATCTTGGTTAGTATTGAAAGAAAGGTTTTATTAAAATCGAGCTAGCAACTCGAGGATGTTATACTTCCTTAATTTCTAGATTGAAAGGTTTGTTGAAGAAGAAGAATTTGAAGATTAATGAAACTAAATATAAGAACAGAGATTATGGTAAGAATAAGACAAAGTCCACCTTTAGACCTGTAGGGTCAATAAATGGATGATCGGGACAGCCTTTTCAATGGCCATACGGCTAGAGCTAGCTGGGCCAGGGGTACAATACCTACAGGCTGATCATCAGCTATACAACGTGATAGTCACGGCGCATGCCTTCGTTATGATCTTCTTCCTCGTAATGCCAGCTCTTATAGGTGGGTATGGGAACATCTTCGTGCCTTTACTCATCGGAGCACCCGATATGGCAAACACCGTGTCTCCTCAGACTTAAGAAGGTTAATCCTTTCTCACAGATAGGCTCTGCTAAGCCTTATACTACTTCTACACAACTTTGCGAAGCTGGTGGGAATTCTCTAATAGCTATTGAAGAGGTGTATAATCTTTCTTCCGAAGAAGTCTCTGCTTCTGAAAGAGCAGCAGGGGAGATCAGCTATCTATTTTATAACTAACCAGGTCAATGGTAAGCAGTACGTGGGTTCGGCTAAAGACCTGAGCCAACAATACAAATTCCCCCATAAGGTCCGGTCCTTCTTAAGTCTGAGAGACGGTAGGTAATGTCTCCTAATCCTTTTTAGGTCCTTGTTGTGTGTTCTCTGTGCTTTCAATTCCTTGTTTATCTCCCCAAGGGAAAAAGGAAAACCGTACCCCCTCTGTAGAAGCAGAGGCGCCCTCCGCCCCTTGAAGGAACTAGGTTATTATCTAGCAGGCCTCTTCTAAGGTTATGGCCATATCTTGTTACCGTCTTCGGGTTCTCCTCAATTCTGTATCCCATTTGGAGGATAGGCCAAAAAGATTCAAACACTCCTAGGTCACCCTCGGCCCACCCTCGGCCCAAGGACTGAGGGCCCTTGGTCCTCAGGCCGGGGAGGACTGAGGGCCCTTGGTCCTCAGGCCGGGGTGGCCGTAGGACCGCAGGGCGGCCCCTAGTCCAGGCGCCGGTGGCTCCACATGCCCTTTACGGGCTACGGAGTCTCACAGGGGCTCTGCGGAGGCGGGAAAATCCTAAGGATTGGGCAATCAGCAGGAAACCGTATGACGCTTGGAGTAATCCTAGGGATCCTCAGAGACTACAAGCGAAGCAACCCCTCAAGTTGCGTCAACTGGGGTTGAAGATATAGTCCGGCCTCTTACGAAAGTTAGAGGGTATTTGATTTCCCCGCCTGAATAACATTAGCTTTTGGTTACTGCCTCCAGCGTTAGGGCTACTGCTTGCCAGCAGCTTTGTTGAGCAAGGTAGATTGCCACTGCCCTTGTGCTCTTTGAGCACTCGAACATTGCTATATGCTGGAAACTCCTTAGAGCCTTCGGTACTAGTCTTCTTGCTTTTAGAAGCCTTAGATCACGAGTCGAGGTTAGATGGAAGCTAAAGTTACAATCCGGGGGATTGGACAATCAGCAGGTAACCAACGAATCGTTCTAGATTCTAGTAGGAACCTCAGAGACTATACGCAATGCACCGTATCGCGGTGAAGAGAGAGTCAAAACCGCTTCTTAAGAGAAAGGGGGAAGGGTGGCAATGGTTACACTAAGGGCGGAGGTGATTCAGGTTTCCTGGGACCTTATTTAGCTGGTCTAATAGAGGGGGATGGTTCTATCATAGTTCCCTCGACCAAGCGACACCCTAGGACTAACAAGAAACTCTATCCTGTTATAAAAATAGGTTTTTGCCCAGTTTTTTCAAACCACAAGTAAAGGGGCCAACACCATCTTAGTGAACTATTTACTGAAATACCCCTTATACTCGTCTAAATAGACCTTCGGGGAATGCTAAACATGGATCAAAGTGCATGAGATGTCCTTCAGGGTTCTTACAAAACAGGAGAGGGTTCCAAATTGCTGCAGGCGCAATGAGGGGAAAGCGGTTCAGGTAGTCAACCAATTTTTGGTTGGAAGCTACACTAACAGTCCGAACACAGTACGTAATCCACTGGAGGCTGATGATGCTGTACTATATACAATCTAACAACTAGGAGATTAGCTATAGCAGATAAAACAGGTTCAAAGGATTGGCCTGTTGTAAGGTGTACCTGCCGTTGCTCTAAGCGGAATTCACAGCTCACCCGACCTTTAGTTTGCGACCACGTATCTGTGCTTATGCCAGGTCGATCTGGTCGGTCAAATAATGACCTAATTGGTCATCCAACGATCTTTCACCTTGAGGCGTAGTGGCAAACTAACGTCGATTTTGGGGCAAACATGGTTTACTAGGTAGACTGAAGGTAGGTTTTGCCTCCTTATCCTCTTGGTTGTAGGTCCCTTGTTGGTTTAATTCACTGTAAAAAGCATCCAGGTGCTCCCAAGTAAAAGGTGTTGCGGCCCTTGTTAATCCCCAACTTGAGTTGTTTGATGTTTTGCTTACCCTCAACCGTCAAGTGCTGCTTAGCTACGATCATAAGATGAACTCTAGCCCAATCCTGGTAGTTCAGACGTTTACTTCCCATGAGAGGGAAAAGGGTCAGGTATTCGACCAGCACTTGCTTTGAGAATACGCTAGGGGTCTCAATACAGTACGTAGTTTTGCGGAGGGGTATTGTGCCGTCTCACATGCACAGATGTGCTAAGGAAAGAAGCAATGGCCTGCATTAAAGAAAAATACCCCGTTTGAGGATGGAATTGTCGTTGCTCTATAGCAAAGATGCAGGCTATTCTTTCCTTTCGCTTACGACCTGTCTCATGGTTAAGACCCCCCTCTGTATAGCGGACCTTTAACCCTCCTAGGCTTCGATGAACCCCCCGGTCTGAGGACCCAGGGCCCTCACTCCCCCCGGCCTGAGGACCAAGGGCCCTCAGTCCTTGGGCCGAGGGTG